AAGTTGTAACAGAGACTGGCTTGGTGTCACTTGGGGACGCTGTGATGTTCCGCGAGTGAGGGCAGCGTACCGAGCCGAGAACGTAGTGTGGCCAGACAAGAGCGGGTGATGCACTGTAGAAAGTGCTTCACTAATCTCAGAAATTTCTCAAAATATCTCGACCTCCTGTGACTATTTTTCTTTGTTTCCTATACTGTTCTCCCATCTCTACCAACTATTTGGAATTCTTTGACTCTCACTTTTTGCCACGAGTCATTGCTATCCACACACCCCAACACCGAGATCCTCTACCTAGGAGATTTCAGTGTACATCACAGAGTGTGACTTGGATCTGCAAGGGATGATCCAGGTGGAGCTGAGGCATTTTCTTTTTCCCTACTTAATGATTTGGAACAAATAATCACACACCCTACATGCATTCCTGATCGACACGATCAACTTGCTAACATTCTTGATCTTTGTTTTACCTCTAACCCGTCACACTATTCATACTCAATTTCTGCCCCCTTAGGGTCTTCTGATCACAATATTATTTCTATTAAATCAAACTGGGAACGACCACCTCCCCCACCCCCCTCTAAACATCAACTATGGCACTATCGGAGGGCAAACTGGCAATCCTTGCGAGAATTCTTCACCAACTTTCCTTGGGATGAATGTTGCCTCTCCACTCGGGATGCCTCGGTGTGCTGACAGCATTGCTGGGGTATACAGGGTGGTATGAATGCATTTAACCCATCTTCTACCAAAACTTTCACATTACAATCATGGTTTAATCACTCCTGTTCTCTTGCATATAGGGAGAGAGATGGGGCATATCAAACTATAAAACTGTCTCCTTCTCCTTTTACTCACTCCTCTTTCATTACTTCTAGGAATCGTTGTAAGGCTATTCTTTGAAGGGCCAAGCAGAATTTTATAAAAATAAAGACCGCTGTTCTGTCTAATTCTTCCTCTAGTAAATTCTTCTGGTCCTTAACCAAAAACATCTGTAATAATTTCTGCACTCCCTCTTTTCCTCCTCTCTTCCGACCTGATAACTCTATACCCAACTCTCCCCCTGACAAAGCCAATCTCTGTGGCACCTTATTCTCCTCTAATTCCACCTTAGACGATTCCCACTCTATCCCTTCCACCCCTGCACCTCCTACTGAACCTATGCACTTTCCTATAATCTCCACTCGCAGGGATGCCGGTGTGTTATCCAGGGTGGATGTGAGTAAGGCGCATGGACCAGACGGAATACCCCCTCGTGTTCTGAAGCTCTGGCCCCTGTGCTTGCTCGCCTCTTTTGCCTCTCCCTCAAAACTCAAACTTTTCCTTCTTCTTGGAAGCATGCCTTGGTTCAGCCCATCCCGAAGAAGGGTGACCATTCTAATCCCTCTAACTATCACCCCATTGCCCTAACTTCATCCCTCTCTAAGATTTTCTAAATTATCTTGAACTCCCATTTCCTCCGTCACCTTGAACGCCTTTCTCTTTTGTCAGATCACCAGTATGACTTTTGGCAGGCGAGATCTACTGGTGATCTGCTCTCCTATTGCACCCATCTTTGGTCATCCTCTCTTAGGCTATGGCACAAGTCTTTGCTATCTAAACTTCCCTCTTTTGGTTTCTCTCCCCCACTTTGTTCTCTCATCTCTAGCTTCCTTGAGAACCGATCCATGGCAGTTGTTGAGAAGGGATCGATCTCTCGCTCTTTCTCTACCAGTAGTGGTGTCCCACAGGGTTCTGTTCTTTCACCTACTCTCTTCCTTCTTTTTATCAATGATTTACTTCACACTACAACTAATTCTATCCATTCTTATGCTGATGATTCTACTCTTCACTCTTCTTCACATTTTCCTCTTCATCCTAACTCTCAAACTAGATCTGTTTCTAGAACTGATATCATTACTTCTATCAATGCGGATCTGTGCAGCATCTCTGAATGGGGAGGTAGAAACTTGGTTAAGTTCAATAGTAATAAAACTCAATATTTACCAATTACACTTTGTAAATTAGACGATCTCTCACCAATTACATTTCAGGACGCTATCATCCTGCCAAATTCTGAAATAAATATGTTAGGCCTCACCATTTCCTCCAATATGTCCTGGAAATCACACATCCTCAATATAGCTAAAGCTGTCTCCCGAAAGTTGGGAATGCTGTACAGATGCCGTAGCTACTTCACTCCTGAGCAGTTGCTCCAAGTATATAAGGGATTCATTCGTCCTAGCTTGGAGTACTGCTCTCATATCTGGGGTGGCTCTTCTTCTGTCCAACTATTAGATAGGGTGGAATCAAAGGCATTTTGTCTTATTCACTCTCCTCTTTTAGTCGACAATCTCTTTTCCCTTTCTCTTTGCCGCAATGTTGCTTCGCTTTCTCTCTTTTACAGGTACTTTAACGGGCAATGTTTGGTGGATTTGGCATCCTGTGTACCGCCGGCAAGGCCGTGGGCTCGTAACACACCTCTTGCCAGCAGGTGCCCACCGTTTCTCTGTGAATGTCGGTCAAACGATAATAACCTGTTATAGTACCTCCTTCTTTCCTCACACAGCCAAACTGTGGAATGCTCTGCCTTCTTCTGTGTTTCCATACTTATACATTCTGTCTGACTTTAAAAAGCTGGTTTCCCAGCATCTTCGTGGTGTAGATTAACACAGTATAACCTTTTTCTTCTCTATTTTCAATTATTTTTTCTGTTCTTTTTTTTCCGCTCCCCAGTCCCCGTTGCGAGTCGTTTGAACTGTGCCCGGGTGGGCTAATTCCCGTAAAAAAAAAATTTCATCTTCATTAAATCCTTTCAAACTGTTCACATATCTTTTCAGGACCTTCTTCCATATTCCATTCATGCACTGACCTGTAACCTCATCCCATGCTGCAGCTATGTTCTTTGTACATTGCAAAATGTTGTAGTCCTTCCAAAACTCTCTGAGCGTTTTCTCACCTTCAGTAGCAGCAACAGCCTAGTAGCAGCAACAGCCTGAGCGAAGGTCGCACGTAAATAATTCGCTTTAAAAGCAGCAATAGCACCTTGATCCATGGGTTGGATGACAGAGGTAGTGTTAGGTGGAAGGTAGACTACCTTAACATTAGGGTGCAGGTCGTCCAGGTGTGGTGGGTGTCCCAGAGCATTATCCAAAATTAACAAAATCTTGAATGCAATCCCTTGTTGCAGACAATACTCCTTGGCTCGTGGAATGAAACAAGTTAGGAACCAATCCTCAAACAGTACTAGGGTCATCCATGCTTCCTTATTACTGCGATAAAACACTGGCAGTGTGTGCTTGCTGACAAGTTTAAAAGCCCTTGGGTTCTCTGAATATATCATGAAGGGCTTTACCTTGAAACCAGCTACACTCCCACCCAACAGAAGTGTGATTCGGTCCTTGAATCCCGGCATTGTTTTCGCCTCTTTGTGGATGTATGTCCGTTCTGGCATGCGCTTCCATAATGAGCCAGTTTCATCCACATCAAATATTTCCCTCCACGATGACACGATCTAGCTCCTCCTTAAAAGCTTCAGCAGCACCCACATCAGCACTTGCTGCCTCTCTACTCACCTTTACACTTAGCAAACTGCAGCGGTTCTTAAACCTTTGGAACCACCCATGACTTGCTGTGAAGTTTTGGTCGCTCTCATCTCCTGCCTGCTCCTTCAGGCTTTCGAAAAGGCTTCTTGCCTTAGCCTGTAGGGTTAGAAGGCTTAAGGGTACACACTTTTGTATCTGGTCTGCCATCCATATTACAAGTAATTTCTCCATCTCATGAAGAGGACCTTGTCTTCTTTTCATTATTATTGTTCCCTTTATAGGTGCTGATCCTTTCACTACCTCACGAATACGTTCTTTGTCCTTCAAAAATTGTCGATATGGTCGAGTGCGAGAAACCTAGGTAGCGTGAAATGGTTGCTACCGTTTTTCCATTTTCATACTGCATTATTATCTTCATTTTTGTCTCAAAAGTAATTGACTGTCTCCTTTTCTTCTGAGCACCACCAGCACTCCCACTTGTATGCTTGCTAGTCATTCTAAAGTGAATTAGATACAAAAATATTGTCAGTACACAGAGCGATCACTATTGACAACACGACAGCCAAACACCAACAGAGCGCTCTATTGCGTGGATGCTGTAGCCACGAGGCGACCCAGCCCACGCGACGCTCTCGTACTGGACGGAAACGTTTCGGTCTAGAAAATACGAACGTAATTTGTAAATTTTTTGGTACCGAATGCGGCGGTCGTGTGTGCGGGTGGTCGTAGGTCGAGTATGTCATAAGTCGAGGAGTAGCTGTATATGGCCATGACTGTTGTATGGGTTAGAAAGAGGTGAGAGGCCTTTGAAATGTGGTGTTAAAGGAGAATGTTAAAAAAGTTACACTAAACTGACAGTAAACAAATGAACAAGTACTAAGGTTAGCAAAAACTACAATAAAAATATACAGTACAGTACTTGGAATTTACCGAAAAAAATATAATGAGATACTTTTGTCATATAATTAGGGATGACGGGACAATACCCAAAATGTTAGTGTACAAAGTTGAAGGTAGGAGGGCCAGGGGAAGGCAGAGACTGGGATGGATAAATGAAATTAAAAACCGGTTCTCCAAAGAGACTTGTAAAAACAACCCAAAAACATTTTAAGTGGAGGACTATGGTCTCCAACCCTCAGATATGAATATGGTACTTTGGGTGATCTAGGTACACAATCCACAACCCCCCCCCACCCAACACAATAAGCCCTGTATTGTGAGAGCTACTTGGCTTTATGCAATTTAGACAAAGACAAAAAATTTAAACCTTATTATTCCTTATAGTAATATCTATGTGGCTGTAGGATATGAAATACTGTACTTAAATATGCTAAAAATATTAAGAAATGTGACAAAAATGTGTCAAGGAATATTGCTAAAAAAGAATCAATCAATTTATGTGGTAACATTAGGCACACAGAATCTTATACAAAATACTGTAAAAGTAAAACGAATCAATGCATGAGTATATTTACACACCTGTGGCAGATATGTGATCGAGGAGGCGTTGAAGGTCAGGAGGGGCATGAACAGCTTTCCATCGCTCATTATTCATGTTCAGTTTGTATCTTGCTTCACGTTCTTCATGGAATCTCAGAACAAATCTTGTAGCCTGAGAACATATAAGTGGCTTATGTACAGTAAGTGAAGAGAATATGCTACTGTATTCAGTCTTTCCATCCATTCAACATATAATTCATAGGAGTTACTTATATAACATTTCTGTGATAAGAAAAAATTAAGTCCAGGTGAGTTAACACGAGGTGACTGTCCTCAAACTTCCTTCCTAACAATAACAGTTCTCTTTATTAACAGTTTATAGAGACAAGTAGTGGTCTATAAAATTTTTAACCCCCAGTCTTGCAAATGTTCCAAATCTTTCTACAGATATTCTCTATCTGGTTCTGTTTCACAATTAAAATGGATGTTCTTGTACAGTACTGAAATTCATAGTCATCTGCCCATCTCACTCTACTACAAACTTGTCACACAAAGCACGAGGAAGTTCTATTCTATTAATTTTTACCCCAATACCTGAAGATAAATATAAAGGGAATAAAGGAAGAGTAATGGACTTTAGAGTCAGGACCCAATGAAACTTCCCAGTGTAGCAATAACACCTTGGGATGGTCAGGCTCCTTTCAGATGGGCTCACATTGTAGTGCTCAATTTGTCATTTTATATACTATCAATATCATATTTGATTATATCTTCTACTAATTGTGGAAAAAAAGCATGCAACATGCAGGCATATCTGCCTGTGAGGAGAATGTACATGAAAATTATAAAATTATTTATATTATTCAAAATATTTTTTCTCACCTGTCCTTGTAATCCCATTCTGAATGAAGTACTTTTACGTCCACACACACTTTCTGTATCAGCTACAAAGTCTTCAATGATGCGTGACAAAGTCAAGAACTCATTTGCTGTCATTTTGTCCAGGCCATGTTCTCTTGACCTGGTTGAGAAATATAAACCATTCAAAATATTCTTGTTATAAAGGTTGCCCTCCTCAATCACTTGTGATACATTCTTCGATAAGAGTGTGACTGAGGAATTTGTGATTGGGGAACCCATTGTAATATGGTGGAACAGGGGACATGTTCTTGGATCATCCTAAATTTTCCCTACAATACTAACAATTGAAGTACCAAGGCATATACTGTACTGTAAATGACCTCTAAGCAATAAAACTTTTTTATCTCCAGCACATAAAGTGGTGATATCATTGAATAAAGAACCTACCGGGTAAATAAATGCATTTCTATATTACGTTGGTGCATAACAATAAAACTAAATCTATAACACAGTACAGGGTATTTGGGAAGCGTTTCATAATTCTGGGAGTATATTTCCGAGACATACTTTACTTAAAGATAAATGACTCCATGACCATAGTGCAGTCATCTATGAAAATTTGATTAAATTATCTTGATCATTTTTTGGGGTGGGGGGCAAATATTATAAAGTTTAATGACGCAATTCACACCACCGATGCAAACAATGCTACCCAATGATTTTACACGATCTGCATTATGAAGCGCGAGAGAGTTAATTATAGTACAGTAATAATATAATAATTATTATTATTGTATTGTGAGCTGTTATCATCATTATTATTCATTATTACTGTATTGTAATTTGGCTGCTGCACCACAAAATATTTGTGAATTGTTTCACTACACAAGGGAGACAACTCAGAACATCTAAGATCCCACACTCCACTGACCCACCCCTCCCCCACTCAGCATACTAGCTCTTAACACGAAGAAATGTTTATTCTCTTTTATGTTTTCACAATTATTTATTTTATTTATTTTTGCCCATTCTGTATGTAAGATTGTGTGTGCATGTAACTGAACATAAAAAAAAAAAAAAAAAAAAAAACATATATTTATTCCAAATTACAAGTTGAAAAATAACCACGACAGCAAACAGTGTGAGGGCTACGGGAATGTGGCTACAGTGATGACACTATCTTGGCAACAATGCCACCAGCAATGTTAACAAACAGAAACCAAAGGGAAATCATTTATAAATCTTCATTTGTATCAGGTTTTGTAGATTTAAAGCGGCATCTATTCGGATTGAAATTTTGCTCTTTGTATTGCAACATAAAGAATCAAGGGGTATGGCATACAAGCCAAGGACAAAGGAGCTTACTGTGTCCTGCACGCTGATGCCTTGGCCCCTTGAAATGAAAGCATCAAGGCTGAACATTGAACTGCTTGGGTGATTGTTTGTGTGGTGGGGGTGAAGATGGACAGCGACCCACCATCCAGCAAGGGTGGGGGCAGACTTTACACCCTCCACCTTGAACGTTTCAAGAACTTTCGTCCGGGACTGTACAGTACTGGGTAGTTATCATTCTCCATAAATGGCCCATAAAACTGCATGAATTTGAACCCTTCAAAAATACAACACGTGTACTGTATAGTTCGACCCCCTACTTTTTCCATAAAAATGTTATCATAAAAACTCAAACTATACTTGAATATAAAGAGTACTTTGTTTATTGGGGATAGCATTATTAGATTTCTATGACTCTACTAACTTCAAATGTAGAGGAAGCATTTCTTTACCCAAGAAACTTAAAAGTTAAATGGGTTGACAACACTTGTACTGTATTTTAAAGTGGGCAACATCCTTGCAAAATATGATTTTTTTTAAAAAACCTAATGTTAATTTAAAAATAAAAACATAATACTTGATGGACTGACACTGCAAAGTTTGGGAGGAGTGTACAGTATATTCTACAATTAGCAGGTAGGTACACATCAGTAAAACTATTTTTCTTACCGTGCATGCAGAAGTTTGGCGCAACGATCATGTGCATAATCACATGTGGCACACAAAATTTCCCGTAAACCTCCTAAAACTCGTCCACAGGCAACCTCCCCTAAAACAGCTTCACCATCTGAGCTGCTC